CCGCCGCCCCAAGGTTGGGAGCGGCGGAGGCGGCGGGGGTGCGGGTGGGGGTAGTGGTGGAGGCGGGTCGTCCGGTGCCAGTGCGGACGTGGGGACCCTGCCCGGTCCAGCTGCCCCGCTGCCTCCACAGTTGCAGCAGCCGCAGCAGCAGCAGTCGCCGCAGCCGCAGCCTTCGCAGCAGCCGCAGCAGCCGCCGCAGACGAGGCAGGCGAGTACTCTCCCACCTGGGTGGCCTGGAGCTGGTGGTGGTCGTGCGCGTGGTGGTGCACCGGGTGGTGGTTCTGGAGGCGGGCCCTGTCAGTACCAGATCCAGACCGGTCCTCGCCGCGGCTTCGTTTGCGGTAAGATCGGTCATTCTACTCCTCGCTGTTTTCGTCGCCTGGACGACCTGTTCCGCCAGCGCTTTGGCCCGGCGCCCGACCTCCCGGACTGGCACAGCTTGCTTAGGCGTAGCATTAGGATTTTTGACTTGGACATGGATGCCATTGTAGCGGCCTTGCATGTGATGTATGCTGATGACTCTAGTGTGCTTCCCTCTTATTACCCCGTGTTGCCTAGTGTAGCGGTGCCTAGCGTAGACTCCCCTGCTGCGTCAGGCGTAGGATCTCCTGCTTTGCTTAGCCTTGGTGCTTCCACCGCTTCACTGCTGCCTCGCGCGACTGCTGCGCTTTCCTTCACCTTGGACTCTGGCGCCTCCCGGTGTTTCTTCCGCGACTCCACGACGCTGACGCCGCTGCCTGTTCCCGCTGCAGTTACTCTTGCTGACCCCTCCGGTGGTCCCGTCGTTGCCCGCAGTTCCACCTCCCTTCCCTGTCCGGCGGTTCCTTCGGGCACTCTCACAGGTCTGCATATCCCCTCGTTCTCCAGGAACCTAGTTGGTGTCGGCTGCCTCCAGGACCTTGGCGTCACCACTACGTTCCCTGGTCACGAGCGGTATGCTGTCTGTACCGAGGCCGCCACTGGTGCCCCCCTGTCCACGTTCCCCCGGGACCCAGTGTCCGGCCTGTTCACTCTGGACACCGTGACCCCCCCGGCTGGAGCGCTCCCTCAGGTGGCTGCGTCTACCCAGGTTGCTGCTGCCTGCTCCTGTCGGTCCCTCACTCACCCGACTCTCCTTTGGCACCACCGCCTAGGTCACCCTGCGCTCCCGCGTCTGCGTCACATGTCCCAGCACGGTCTCGTCCTTGGTCTTCCCGGTTCGTTCCCCGAGTTTCCCTCCTCCCCCGCCCCACCGTGCACGCCTTGTGTCGAGGGCCGGCTCCGCCGTGCCCCTCACTCCTCCTCTTTTCCCCCTACCACCGCACCACTGCAGACTCTGCACATGGACGTCTGGGGCCCAGCCCCGGTCCATGGGCCGCGTCGCGAGCGCTTCTTCCTAGTGCTTGTCGACGACTTCACGCGCTACACCACCGTCTTCCCCCTGGAGCGGAAGGCCGACGTGCCTGACGTTCTCATCCCCTGGCTTGTCTCTGCTCGTGTCCACCGCGGTCTCCCTGCCTTGCGCCTTCACTCCGACCGGGGTGGCGAGTTTGCCTCAGGTGTCCTTGGTCGCTTCTGTCGTGCGGAGGGCATCACCCAGACGTTTACCCTGCCGGACTCCCCGCAGCAGAATGGGGTCGCTGAGCGACGCATCGGTTTGGTCATGGAGGTGGCTCGCACCTCCATGATCCACGCCGGTGCACCCCATTTTCTGTGGCCGTTCGCCGTGCGCTACGCCGCTCACCAGCTTAACCTGTGGCCGCACCCCCAGCGGCCGCAGGTTTCGCCGACCCTTCTGTGGACCGGGTCCCCTGGTGACGCGTCTGCGTTCCGCGTCTGGGGCTGCCTTGCTCACGTTCGTGCCTCTGGCACGGACAAGCTCACTGCCCGCACCCTCCCCTGCGTCTTCCTCGGTTTCCCCCTTGACGCGTCCGACTGGCACTTCTACCACCCGCCGTCTCACCGCTTCTTTCACTCTCGCGACGTCACCTTTGACGAGTCCGTCTCCTTCTACCGCCGCTTTCCCCACCGTGGTCCCCCGGTTACTCCCCCCCTTTTCCTGGTTCCTCCCTCCCTGGTGGTCCCTGCCCCTCCCCCCCCCCGCCCCCCGTCCGGCCCCCTCTGGTGTGTCTCACGTCACCCCCCTCCCGTCGGTCGTCCCGGTCGACGAGTCTTCTGACTCTGGTAGTCCTCCGGCGCAGTCCTCGCCGTCTGTCCCTCCCCCGGTGTCTCCTCCTCCACCGCCTCCGCAGCCGCCGTCGCCGCAGCTGCTGCAGCCGTCGTCTCCACCGCCGCCGCCGTTGCAGCCGTCGTCTCCGCCGCCGCCGCCGTCGCAGCCGTCGCTGCAGCCGCCGCCGCCGCCGCCGCTGTCGTCGCTGCCGCCGTTTGTGGACTCTGGGGGTGTCCCTTCTGGGGGTGCAGGTGTGGAGGGTTCGGGAGGTAGCCGTCGCGCAGCTTGTGGCCCTGGTGTTGGTGTTGTGTCGCCGCAGCAGCAGTCCCCGCCTGTGTCCGCCCTCCGTCTGCTCGGCCTTCCGTCTCCTGACCCTGCGCCTGTTCCTCTCCTGCCGTCTCCCTCTCTTCCCGTCTACGGCCCCGTGTTCCCTCTGCCAGACTCGTCCCCGGCTCGTCTTCCCCCTCGTTCCCCTCCTGTGTCCCCTCCTCTGTCTCCTGACCCGACGCCGCCCTCACACGTCTGGTCTCGCCGCCCCTCTCGTGCTCGTCCTGTCTCCCCTGTCCCGTGCTCTCACCCTATGTTGCTCCGTTCCCACGCGTCTCGACCTCCCCTCCTCCCGTCTCCTCCTCCGTCTTCCCTTGTCGTTGCGTCTCCTCCTCTGTCCGACTCCTTTCGTGCCGCTCGTCCTCTTGTTCCTCGGGTCCTTGCCTCTCTCGTTACCGACCCGTCTGTTCCCGTGTCGAGTCTTGACGCCCTCGTCGCTGCGGTCGCTGACTTCGCCTCTACCCGCCGCCTTGACTACGCCACCGCTCTGGTCTCTCACCCTGCCTGTCCTCCGTCTGTCGGGGGTGCTCCTGCCCTCGGCAGTGACGTCCTGGAGGACCGCCAGTTTGAGCTTGCTTTCCTGTCCGAGGCTGCTCCCCATCTCTGTTCCATGCTGCTAGTCCCTGAGGGTGACCAGACGCTTTCGACATCCCGACCCCTCGTACTTACGCTGAGGCGGTTTCGGGACCCTGGGCCTCTCAGTGGATAGCTGCCATGGAGCAGGAGATGGCATCTTGGAGATCCACCGGCACCTTCGTCGACGCAGTTCCCCCACCTGGGGTGAACGTGGTCGATGGCCGTTGGCTCTTCAAGGTGAAGCGCCCTCCTGGAGAGCCGCCTGTGTTCAAGGCGCGCTACGTGGCTAGAGGCTTCAGTCAGCGCGAGGGGGTGGACTTCTTTCAGACTTTCGCTCCTACCCCGAAGATGACTACTCTTCGGGTGCTGCTACACGTAGCGGCTCAGCGTGACTACGAGCTTCACTCCCTCGACTTCTCCACTGCCTTTCTTCAGGGCAGCCTTCACGAGCAGGTCTACCTGCGTCGCCCTCAGGGCTTTACTGGCACCTTCCCCCCTGGGACCCAGTGGCTTCTGCGGCGGCCAGTCTACGGCCTGCGCCAGGCGCCTCGTGAGTGGCACGACACTTTGCGTGCTACCCTTGCTGACCAGCAGTTCTTTCCGTCCTCTGCAGACCCCTCGCTCTTCGTTCGTGCTGGCTCGACTCCGTTCTACATCCTCGTCTACGTAGACGACCTGGTCTTTGCCACTGCTGACAGGGACGCACTGGCCTCCGTGAAGGCAGAGCTGCTGAAGAGACACACCTGCACTGACCTTGGAGAGCTGCGCCGTTACCTTGGCTTGCAGATCTCCAGGGACAGAGCCGCGCGCACCATCACCCTGACTCAGTCACACTTGGTGCGCCAGGTCCTTCAGAGGTTCGGCCTTCAGTTCTCCTCCGCACAGCCCACCCCTCTTCCTCTGGACCACAGACTCTCCGCTCCAGTTCCTGAGGAGTCGGTAGATCCCAGTGGTCCTTACGCTGAGCTAGTGGGTTGCCTCATGTACCTGATGACTTGCACTCGCCCAGATCTCGCATACCCTCTCAGCATCCTGGCTCGTTTCGTGGCCACAGGCAGACACCGACCTCAGCACTGGTCTGCCGCTAAGAGGGTTTTGCGTTATCTTGCAAGTACATCGGGCATGGGGTTAGTGCTAGGCGGACGCAGGCCAGTGGTCCTTACTGGACACACAGACGCTTATTGGGCAGACGACGCCGAGACGCTCAGGTCTTCCCAGGGCTACTGCTTTAGCCTTGGCTCAGGTGCTGTCTCGTGGAGAGCTACCCGCTCCTCGTCTGTTGCCCAGTCCAGCTGTGAGGCTGAGATCTACGCCGGTGCCATGGCGGCACAGGAGCTCCGCTGGCTGACCTTCTTGCTCACTGACTTAGGTGAGCGGCCTAGCTCTGCCCCGGTCCTGTACGCTGACAACAGGGCCATGATCCTCCTGTGTCAGGAGCCTCGACTCGAGGGCAGAGCGAAGCACATCCAGCTGCGGTACTTCCTCCTGCGTGAGCTACAGCAGCGTCGCCAGGCTCGCGTAGTACACTTAGCCTCCGGTGCCAACACAGCTGATATCTTTACGAAGGCGCTTGCGCCTAAAGATCATCAGCGGCACTGTGTACAGCTTGGTCTGGTTCCTGTAGTCTCTCACTTACTCGGGCCTTGACTTTGTACTGCCCTATATATATCTGTGTGTACACTCAGACTGGACTTGTGTCCTCTTACAGTGGTTGGACTAGTAGTGCCGCCCTGTACTAGTTCTTGCCTTGCCTGTACTCCTTCTGACTGGTCTTTTAGACCCTTGTCTCAGAGGCTGGACTAGTAGTGCCACCCTGAGCTGCTTGTCTAGAACATTCCCCTATGCAGTCCAGGGGGTGTGTCAAACATGTTTAGTTATCATGCTTGTATAGACTGTATAGGGTCATCTTCTAGAGAGTACAACTGTTAGGTATATGTTTGTGTACTCTCTCTCTCAATTCATCAATTTCACTGTTTGATAGTTAAATCTTAAGAGAAAACATGGACTTCTACCTCCCTATTGAACCTAACCCGCCTGTCCAATGATCTTGTGCGACTGAACGCGCCCTCTTCCTTCACAGTAAGGATAGACTTGGGAACGCCGGAAGCAACCGCTGCTGCTGCCGATTCCGTGGCCCAGCCAGCCCCGCTGGGCAAAATGCTGTTATCAGATCGAGTGGTCATGAGAAGATGACGGTTCTTCACACGCTGGACGTCCGGGGAGCATACTGGAGAGCACTCTAAAGGGGATGAAATCCTCTTCCCCTTGGAAAATCTCCTTTGCGGAGGAGACAAAGAGGTTGCTGAAAATGTTCCTTCTGCCCCAGGAGCCGAATTGGACCTGAAACCTTTCAAGTCCATATGTAAAAACTGCTGAACCAGCTGCATCTGCTGCAGCTGCTGCTGCTGGTGCATTATGTGCTTATCCGAATCCACGGAGGCTCCAGCTATGGCGGAACCAGCCAATTGCTGCTGCAGGAAACTAAAGCCAGAGGCACCGTGCAAGGGGGAAGGGCGTGTGGCAACACGGGGGGAGAGGGGGGATGGTCCGCGCGGGGACAGGGGGCAGGGGGGGGGGCGCCGAGGGGAGAGGGGGGAGAGTCCTCTGGGGGAGAGGGGGGAAGGGCCCCAGGGGGAGACTGGCGGAGGAAAGCAAGGGGAGAGGGGGGAAGGATGGCGGTGAAAAAGGGGAGAGGGGCCACGGGGGGAGGGCAGGCGCGGGGACAAGGGGGAGGGGCCTCTGGGGGAGAGAGGGGAGGGGCGGAAGGTTGGAGAGGAAGGGAAGGTAGAAACGATGTGATTGGTCGGAATGCTGATGGCGGTGCGTCGCCTAAAGCTATTATTACTAGCGTTGCTACCGCTGGCGTAACCCGCGCCGCCGCCATTCCCGCGGCTGCTGCAGACGCTTTGACTCGTAGGAACGTCTTTAAGAACAGCCGTCGCGTCGGTGGTCGCGCTATCGTGTAACACGCCGTCAGCCATGCCGCCACGCGATTGGTCCGCTGCTTCCCCGCAATTTGCGGCAGCCCCAGCGTCAGACGCGCTCGGGCGCTCGTCGTTACCACGGCTGCTGTCGCAACATTTGCTGTAGTCACATTTCTCATTGTCACTATTGATACTAGAGGGGCTCGGATCCCTGCTGCTGCTGTTGCTGCCGCTCCCATCCCCTCCCGGCCCGAGCCTCGACTTCCCGACCCTCGAACACCCGCGGCTCTCTGCCCCTGCCGAACCAGAGGAACAGGCTTGGTGCAGGTTCGGTAAACCGGTGCTGCTGCCGGCTTCAGGTAGTTCGGGCTTGACATCCGGCTCCGCTCGTGCGACCACTACCGGGAAAACGGGCTTAGCTCTGCTGCTGCCACGTGGCATGGTTTGCCCGTCGGACATGGATCGGGGAAACCTGAACGCAGCGCTTTCGCGCAAATTGATATGCGGAGGGCTTCTGCGGAGAGCGAATTGCGCGCCTGTAGCAGAGCGCGCGGAGGGGGGAGCTGCGGAGGGGGGGGGGGCGGAGAACGGAGACGCGGACGGGGGGAAAGTGGCGGTAGCTTGGCTGACCGAAGGAAACGCGAACGGCTTTTCTTGCGGGAGGTTCGGCGCAGGCATCGGCGCCACTGCCGCCGCCGCACGCGCAGCGCCCCGCTGCGCAGCCGCCGCCCCGTCCGCTGGGGAGGTCGCTCTCGATCGCGCCGCGTTAGATTTGCCGGCCTTGAGCGCCATCAGGTCGGCGATCCCGAGGGCCGGCCGCCGGCATGGGGATTGTCGCGGCCGGCAGACGGCGGCGCGGGGGACGGCAGGAGACGCCGACGACGAACCCGCGGAGCTGCTTCTCTGCGACGCTGCCGGCGAGGCGGCTGCCGCTGGTGCTGCCGCCGCGTCTCGCGCTGGGGATAGGACGCGGGACGCCGCCGTTTCGGGTGCTCCGAAGACTGCTGCGGATACGTGGGACGACGCGGCTGGGAATGCGGCAGCAGCACCGGCGGCTCGCGAAGGGGCTTCGTGGCGTTCGCGACGTTCGCAAGTTTCGCCGATGTAACCCGACGCGCTTCTCGCGGATGCAGTTGTGGCTAGGTCAACCGAATAACGGGAACCGAGATTAGAACCAAGAGTAGTACCAAGGTTGGAATCAAGCGAAGGGGAATGAAGCCATGAGTGAGTGGCGGCAAGCGAATCGAATTGCTCCGACGGCTGCTTCTGGTGATGCGAGAACGCCACGTTGGATTGCCTCGATGCTGACGTGTTCCGCCCGCTGGGACTTGGGATAAAGTCAAAGCTAGCTGCCCTGCCGTGCAACGCGCCGCCCCAATTACTGTACGCTGATAGGTGAGCGGCATGGGCGGCATGGGCGGCGAGAGGAGCGCACACTGAAGGGCACGTGGCCGAATCTAGCGCCGATGCTGACGTGGCAGATTCCGCCATGGCTCCGTAAGACTCGCCGGGAGCTGCGCCGCTGCTCCCTGAGTCCGCGGTGCAGATGTTACAATTCGCGGGATGGCGCATGGAGCGCCGCGCGTCTTGAGCGTCGATGCGATGCGGGATACGCGGTGGCGAATGAGCCGGTGGTACTAGCAGATCTGGTCGTAGATTTAATTGAGTATCCGTGGGATGCGGCAGGAAAGGTTGTTGAGCTCCCGAGTGCCGCTCAACCAGCAACGCGACTTGTGCTGACATGACACCGTGGAGCGGTCAGAATGGAGATCTGCGGGCGACGTACGTAACCTCCTATACTTCTGCTGACATGACACGGAAAAAAACAGCAGCTAGAGTGGAGATCTACGGACAACGTACGTAATCACCTAGGATTTACTTGGCGGTAGGGGTGGGAGAAACTGGCCGTTGGTCTAATCAAGAGCTCGGTGCTCACTGATAACTGCGCAGAGTCTTCGACCTGCTCTGCGTATGAGGCGGGTGGGGTAAATGAACCTGCCCATGGGGTCAGGACTCAGGACTCAGGGAGGGGAGCAGGGGGTGGAGGGGGGGGGAGGAAAGTGGGAGGCCATGGCAGGGAGTACAGTATGGGGGATGTTAGGCACAGCTGTGCCAGGCGGGGGGCAAGTGAGAGTGAGCTTGCTTGTGACTGCTGCAGTGCGCAGCTGGCGAGGCACTCTGGGCGTGTCTAAGCGGTGTCTAGACACCACATGCGTAGTTGAACTCTAGTGAGGTGGGTTGCGTTCCAAACATTTTACGAAATATTTGAGATCGGTTTAAAAAGGTTTCAAGGATCGAACTATTATGGCATGCCTGGTGGCGGGTTCGGTAGGGTTGAAGGGGGGGGTGGGAGGGGAAGCGCAGTGGGAACGCGCGGGTGAGGGTGGAGGCGCAGTGGGCGGCTCCAACCGTCAATGGCATTGAACGACAAGTCAGGTTTTCAGAACGTTTTTGTGCGTTTCTAAGGGCTGATTCGCAACAAGTTCGCGACACTGTATCACGTTGTCCGCCACCCAACAAGCACTGTAGAGGCACAGTCCATGTGTACAGTAGATGTGGCTGCGGCGGAAGCCTGGCGCTGGTGTAATTACCGCGCCCGCATCAGTTGGATGAGGGGAAGGGGGGCGACTTGCGTGACAGGGTTTGCGACAGCTGTCCCCGCAGCTGGTCTGAGGTCAGCATTGCAGCATGTCATGCACGGCAGAGTGGGGTGGGAAAGACGAACTCGACAAATGGTGAATGGAGAAATTGGCCATCACCTCACTTGTTCGGCGCTGACCATCGCTCGTACGACCAACCAATCTTTTCGACACCACCTGTCAAAATGCGCTAAAGTCCACCAATCTACCCGCGAAGAGACCGGTACAGAGCATATACATTTCAGTTCATATGTTTTTTGTGATCTTTCCCACACTGGAGAAGTTGCATTGTGTGCCAGCTGGGGGGACCATTGAGTTGGACTTGTGCTCAATTTCCAGGAGGCCGCCGCGAGGCTCGGGCGCAGGCCTCAGGCCTGGTCGAGTACGTTCGGGGGATTGACATCACGTGCAGACTGAGTTGAAATTTTATTCGAGCCCGAGGCCGGGTAAGCACGCGGAACTCAGGGCGCATCTTGCAGCGAGTGTTAGATCCGAGAGTTTAGCGGGAAGATCCAAGGCTGGAAAAGCCTCGGGTCTTGCGAAAATCTGACGGCTCCAGCCAGTCAGCTGTCAAATCGAACAACTAACAATGTCGCGTAAATGAACTTCCACCAATCACAACTTCGCAAATTTCTGGTGGACTCACAAAGTTCGGCCAGTATAGTCGCAACCCTCCCCTTGCGACATTTCGCGACTATGCAGTCGCTGCACGTCAAGAAAAATAAACCCGCAGTTAGGTTGTGACAGCCCGCGGCTCGTTCGGCCGCGGGTCGACCTCGGGTCTGATACCTGCTGCAGAATTTGCCCTCATACTTTCCAGGGCCTATGCCAAGGATTTGTGGGTCCGAGTTGTGGGGCTGGTGAATTCTGTATAATCTGGAATCAAGGCTCGAGTTACTCTGACCGAGTCTCTCCCCCGTGCTGCGCGAATTTGCACCAATAACATGCTAAGACAGCTCATCCCGTTTAGCCAAATAATGGAGTGGTAGCAACAAGTGAGGGAAGAGAGATGAAAGCACAAGGGGAAGAGGGGGGCAGCTCATCCCGTTTGAGAGATTGCCTTGGTTGTAAGGGGTTAAGTGAGGTGACAGTGGAAGGGGAAGAGCAGGATTGTCGTGTGGTGTGGGGGATGAGGTTACGGGGGAGAGGAGGGGGATGTGGGGGAAATTTCTCCGAGTTGGGCCCCAGGGACATTCTGATTATTCCGAAACAGGCCCAAGCACACTTGTATATTTTCCGGAACTCCTGTGTAGTCACTCATACAAAATCCGGATTGGACCCCGGAGAAACTCTGAAACATGATTAAATCCGAGTAATTACCCTTGAAACATTACGCCTGACGCCTTCATTTTATCAAACCACACCGTTCTCAACCCCTCTTATTGATTACACATTTCCTAGGTTTGGGGTAAGGCTTTTTTGCTATAACCGTCCTTCAAATATTCATATGCAGCATAGCCCATGGTATACGTATGAACAATATGAAATCATTCAAGAAAGCCTACTGGGTGATGACACGTCCTTCATTGCAATTGAAAAATATGAAATGATGTCTACATATTGAACGTATGTATGAGCATGTCCACTTGTAGCAAGGTGCCAGTCACATCTACTGACATGCATCAACTATACCTCATCTGTACAGGAAGACAAGTCCCGGCATAATTTTTTTTGTAGCGATGGTCGGCAAGGGTGGCAAAGGAGGTTCAGTCGTTCCAAACAGAGAACCATGAATGCTCTGCATGGGATGGGAAGTGGAGACGGTAAGAGATGAGTACACAGGAGAGGGCCAGCGAGGACAGACGTAGTAGACTTGCAAATTACAAGAGAGGGAATCGGAGACATATCTCAAGGTGCTGCAAAGCCTACATGCATCCACCCACATCCTCCCACACATACCAAGAGCGGCTCGAGCTGTTAGTCGTTTCTTCGGGTCCCTTGTCAGCATCCTCCTTATTAGGTCCACCCCCTCCAATGATACATCCCGCCATGCCTCCCCTTTGAAAGACGGCTTCGCCTCTTTAATTGCTTTCATAATCCCAGCATCTGTGCGCGCCCAGAAAGGTGGAACACCTGAAATCAAGACATATAGAACAACCCCAGCGGACCACACATCTGCAGGGATACCGTAACTGCCTTCGATCACCTCCGGTGCAACGTAAAACGGCGACCCGACAAAGTCGCATAACGGCTTCGCACCGGGCTTGACTACAGTAGCTACACCAAAGTCGATGAGCTTGCATTCGGTTATCGAGTCGGGGCTTGTAAGGAGGACGTTTTCTGGCTTGATGTCGCGGTGCACAATGCCGCGCATGTGGCAGAATGCGAGGACGTCGAGGATGGTTCGCATAACGGGGACGGCATCTCTCTCCTCGTACCGCTTCTTCTCCTTGATCTTGTCGAAGAGCTCGCCACCCACACATAACTCCATCACCATGTGCACTCCCTGGGAGGAGGGGAGAGGGACACACGAGGAACATAGGGCAAAGGGGAAGGAATGGGAAAGGGATTGATGAGGATTGCAGGTATCGCGAGGATGGCGTCTCTCTCCTTGTACGGAATCGGTTCTTTGATCTTGTCGAAGAGCTCCCCACCCACGCACAGTTTCATCACCATGTGTACACCGTGGGAAGGAGAAGAGGGTGAGGGAGCAGGATATGAGAGAACCTCGCAGGTGGTTCACATGACATAGTTCCATCACCATGTGAACACCCTGGATTGAGAAGGGCGTGCAGGGAATTATTGGCATGACAAGGGCGGTGTCCCACTCACCTCTGAGCCATGCAACGGTAGGATTGGATCTTGAAGTCCATTAAAAGGTCTTCATAGCATGCATGTTCATGTGAATTTGCATGTGGATGTGCATGTGCATGTGAATGTGAATGTGAATGTGCATATGGATGTGAATTTGCATATGAATGTGGATGTGCATGTGAATGTGCATGTGCATGTGAATTTGCATGTGCATGTGAATGCGCATGTGCATGAGCATGTGAATGTGAATGTGCATGTGCATGTGAATGTGCATATGAATGTGCATGTGCATGTGAATTTGCATGTGCATGTGAATGTGCATGTGAATTTGCATGTGCATTTGCATGTGCATGTGCATGTGTGTGTGAATGTGCATGTGAATTTGCATGTGAATTTGCATGTGCATGTGCATGTGCATGTGCATGTGAATGTGCATGTGCATGTGAATTTGCATGTGCATGTGAATTTGCATGTGCATGTGCATGTGAATGTGAATGTGCATGTGCATGTGAATGTGCATGTGAATTTGCATGTGCATGTGCATGTGCATGTGCATGTGAATGTGTATGCGCATGTGTATTTGCATGTGCATGTGAAAGTGCATGTGCATGTGCATGTGAATTTGCATGTGCATGTGCATATGCATGTGAATGTGCATGTGAATGTGCATGTGCAAGAGCATGTGAATGTGCATGTGAATTTGCATGTGAATTTGCATGTGAATGTGCATGTGCATGTGTGTGCATGTGCATGTGAATTTGCATGTGAATTTGCATCTGAATGGGAATGGGGCATGTGTGCATGTGACTACGAATATGGATGTGAATGTGGGCGAGCATCTGAATGTGCATGTGACATTGAATGCTGAGAGTTCATATGAATGTGCTTGTGACATTGAATGCTGAGAGTTCATATGAATGTGCTTGTGCTTGGTCTTGTCCGCACCTCCTCATCCTCAAAAACGTCTTCCAGCCGAGCAATATTAGGGTTGGGTCGTAGAGTTTCCAGCATCGAAACCTCTCGCCGTATATCCTCCAAATCAGACTTGCTCTGAAAGCATGGGGGTAAGGGTAATGCGTGTGGGGGGAGGGGGAGAGGGGGAAGGGGGTAGCAGTGTTAGAGTCCACAGCGTAGAAACTTCTTGCCTTGTATTCTCCAAGTCCAAATTGCTCTGCAAAGTATGTGAGGGTGACGTGGGGAGGAGAAGGGGTGGAAAGGGGAGAGGAGGGGGGGGGATGGGGGGCAGGAAGCAGGGGCAATTTAGGGGAAGAGAAGGGGGGAATCATGTGAGGGTGAGGGGGAGCAGCAGGAGAACAGGAGTAAGTCAGGGGGGAAAGGAGGAGGGGAAGGGAATGGGGGGGAGCAAGGGGGGGTGGGCGTTTGGAGGGGTAGGCGCAGGGGGAAAGCAGATTCATGTGGAGGTCGGGGGGGGGGGAGAAGGGGGGGGCGGGGAGGGTAAAAAAGGGAGGGGGTAAGAACGTACGGGAGATTCCCTTCTCGCTCACCTTGAGATTCGCCTTGCAGATCGATTTGCACGCGAACTGCTTCCCCGTTTGTCGGCACTTGGCCATCCGCGTCACGCCAAACTGCCCCGACCCAAGCTCCTGATCCATCATTACAAGATATTTCTTCTCGATCGCGACAAACTCCCGCCCTAACACGTTTTCCGTCAAACCCGGCCCCCCTCCCAGCATCCCCGACAATTGCGACAGCCCGCGCATCGCGAACCCTAAAATCCCCTTTCCGCCGCCTTTGGCTTTGTAAAACGCGGATCGGATCTCCTCCACGCTGCAGACTTCGTCGTCTAGCGCGGCGGTCGCGGCGGCTGCTGCGGCGATGGAGCTTATCCCGCTGTTTGCGCTACTAATCCCGCTACTGCCGCCGCTACTTCCGCCGTTATTTCCGCCGCTGTTGCCGCCGCTGTTGCCGCTGATGGAACCAGAAGCAGCGGAAGAGGCGGCGAGATCGCTGGAGAGGGAGGAGAGCGAGCGAGCGACACGTGTCATGTGCGGAGCAGCTCTTCCGCCGAAAGACGCGGCGCCACTTGCGGAGAAGGACTTCGGGACCTTCCCTCCCACCGTAAGCCCTCCCGCCGCCGCCGCCGCCGCCGCTGCCGCTATTCCCGTCGTCCCTGCTGCGCCTAGCGGTGAAGCCCCTCCGAGAGATCCTCCTGCTGCTGCTGCTGCAGCGGCTTGTGCGGCGGCTTGTGCGGCGGCTTGTGCGGCGGCTTGTGCGGCCATGCCCGCCATATCGACTGACGCGGCGCGGGATTTAAGTACGACCTTCTGCGCCAGCTGGTTACCGCTCGAGCAATCCAGCGACTGCGTGCGCGCCACGGCTTTTCCCCGTCCCACGGGCGGCTGTTGCGCCGCCAATCGCGGGCCGGCAAGCGCGCCGGCCGGCGCGGAGGACGAGAAGTCCGCTCCCCCTCCTGCGGGGGTCTTCCGCAAGTTCTGGAGCGACTTGCGGGCGGCCGCGGCACTCAGCGCCACGGGCTGCGGAGCGCCCGAAACCCGCGCGATTCCCACTGGCGCAGCGCCTCCAGCGCCAACGGCGGCGGCGGCGGCTGCTGCGGCTGCGGCGGAGCCTGAGACGAGGCTGCCTTGGCGGCTCGGGCCGAGCCTCGACTTCCCTCGAGCCGCGGCAGCGGCTGCTGCTGCTGCTGCTACTCCGTCCCCGTTAGTACCCTCCCCGCCGGTAGTAATAAGGAGGTCGCTGTTAGTAGCGTCGACGCTGTTGCAGCGGCTGACACTTGGCGAGCTGCTATTGGAGTTGCAGAGGCTCCTACAGTTCCGCGGGTCGATCTGGAGGTCTTCTAAGGACGTCTTTAATAGTTGGTCGACGTTCGAGCCGCTCCGCCGGGGGGGACGCTGCGGGGGAAGGCGCGGGGAAAAGGCTGCGTTCGCGGGGGAGTTCCCGCCACTGGGGGAAGGGGGAATGGGAGACGTGGCGTGCGGAGACCTGAGAGCGCCCAGCGGCGGCGCTGCGCTCTGCCTACTCCACTCTTCCGCCTCCTCCCCCGCTTCCCCCTCCGCCGACCCAGCTCCACCGTACATATCTTCTTCATCCTCGTATTCCCCCACATTCGGAGCTCCTGCTTGGTTATAATCACATCCCGCGCTAAAGCGTTCGTCATCGATCGAACCGGCGCGTCGAATATTTTCTGGCCGTAATTGCCCTTCCCGAATTGACCTGCCTCCGAAAACTCTCGGGCTATTGTCGCCCGTAACCTCCTTGCTTTCGAGCATCCGCGTTAGTGACCTATTGCTGCTTAACGCGCGCGTTTCCTTGGCTACCGCAATCTCCCCCCCGGTTCCGCGCATTCCCCCTCCTCCGCCTCCCCTCAATTCTCCCGCCCGCGGATCTCCCCCTGGGAATGTCGGAGACCGCATCGCCCCCACAGGGCTCTTCAGCGGCGGCCCGTGCGGCGACAGTTGCGGCGGTCCGTGCGGCGATAGTTGCGGCGGTCCATGCGGCGACAGTTGCGGCGGCCCGTGCGGCGACAGTTGCGGCGGGAGCTGCGGCGGCGAGCCGTATCCCAAATCAGCTTCCCCTGAAAATCCGACCGGGAGACTCACTCTCCGACCCAAGCCCCCAGGTCCGGGGGCTTGGCCCGGTGGAGCTCCGAACCTCGCTATCTGGTTCGGGCTTCCAACGCCCATCCCTGCGCCATTTCGGTTCGGGGAACCCGTCACGCCTAACGGAACCGCGTTTCGCCGCCCAACTGGTAGAGACGTATTTTTGTGGAGTTGCGGGGAAGGTCCCGATGGTCCCAGACTAATAGTCCCATACGCTCCTCCTTGTTGTCCCACCAGCCTATTCTGCTGCTGAAACTGCGGCGCTTGTTGCGCCGCATGTTGCGCCGCGTGTTGCGGCGACTGGCCGTGCGGCGCCACGTGTTGGCTCGTCATCCCAGACGGCCTCTGAAACTGCTGCGAATTCGGGTTGCCAAAACCGTTACTACCACTATTCGCGAGATGCGACAGAGCCGGAGCGCCTTTCATCTTCGAGAGATTGGGGTTCATCAGCTGCTTCAGATCCTGATTCGATAGCCGCGGCCCGGCCGCCTTCTTCTCCCTTTTTTCCTTTTCCGGGGGAGGCTGCTTCTTGTGCAGGTTCGGCTGGTTCAGCTTCTGCATCAGCTCCTGCGCCTTCGCCAGCTGAATCTCCGCCTTCGTCGGCGCCGCTTGCGGCGCCCCTTGCGGCGCAGCTTGCGGTCTCGCGTTCATTGTCATGGTCCCCATCCCCGGCGGTGCTGCGGCGTAGTAGCCGGGCGGCTGGTGTGGAATCGCCCCGCCACCAGCGGCGGGAGTCAATCGTCGCTGGGAGCGCTGCTGCACTAGAGCCATTTCCGCGGGAGGCCTCGTTTCTGCTTGACTCGTTTCTGCGTGACGCGTTTTCACTACGGGAGTGCAATTTCGCTAATTCTGGAATGAGCTACGCGTCTTCCGACTCATACGATCGAGGATTTAGCCCAGACTCCAGAGCTGCCACTGTTTTCGGCTATGGGACCTAAAGACGCTGATTCGAAGGACTCAGCAAGACACCGAAGCGAAGCATCTATGAGAACGGTGGGATTACAATTCGGAGAGGTAAGGAACCATTTCTGAGACGTGTACCCGACCCGATGCAATTAAAAGAGCCCTGGAATGTTCTGGGGTCTGTGGGACGGAGTATAGTGCAAATGTATGGGCTTTCACCTGAAGGACATGCTTGCTGGAGCTCGGCTGATGGGTAGCGGCGAATGGGGAGGGCGGGCGCACTGAAAGATGGACCAGACCAAGGGGGCGGGGCCCTCAGAAATTGCCTATGATTGCGCGTGGATCTTAGATCTACGTGGATCGAGCTGCGGTGTTCAGAAATTACTCTATTGTATTGACTTTTGCATGGCAACTGTATGGGTGTTGTTGGTGGGAGGGGGAAAGGGAAATGGAAGGGAGAAAAAAAGTTCGAGAGGAGGGATGCGAATTGCCAACTGTGTATTCCTTTGCATTCCTCCATATTCCCAACCGAACGCACTGAACCGAAATTCAGACAAATTTCCGAAGCCATTTTCCAAATGCGACGCGGTTTCACGACGCGATTCAGGTTTGGTGAGGGAGGCGGTGTGGGGGGGAGGGGACGAGTCTCGCCAGCTAGCTTCGGAAGACTACACTTGCGTGGTTTGGATGCACATGGGACCGATTTGGAAGGAACGAACATGATGGAGTTCAAGCCGAAATGACACGGCGGATCTTGCGGCCTGAGGTGACACGTTCAGAAGTGAGTTTTTGCCACGTTGCCAGCTCATTCACATCCACGTACGCTGCATCGAATCTGTTGGTGTGTGGGTATGAAATGATGAAATTTCCTACTGACAACCCTTCTTTGCCAGTGACAGCCAGTGATTCCTCCTTGTTTAGGTAAGAGAGGCACACTATCCACACATAAGAGCGAAATACCGAACGCTAAAACGGCTGCCCACGTGAAAAGAATACACCTGCAAAACTCTGTCCGAGTCACGAATCGCTCCGTTTCATCTCGCACAGCACAAGGACATCCGACATGGCACTTCCTGAGGTCGTCTGGCAGAGGATTCGCTACAGTTGGAACAGTGCTTTCGGTCTTGAATGCAGCATCATGGATGTGAATGGGAAGCTTGAGGTGGCAAGTGGCCCAAGCAACGTCAGTCAGCACAGCAGGAATGCTGACTCGCTAAAAGTAATCCATCCAAATGCATTTAGCATTGTCTTTAGCGGTTTGTTACATTCAGCAGACTGATCAACCATATTGGACATTTCTCAACAAAATGCTAGGGAACAAAAGCAACTGGATGCCAGGGAATAATTCATCATAAATATTTGGATTTAGTATAGAAAGACGTAACAACTAAATTACAGCAATTGGAAGTGTAAAAAAGGTACATGTCTACAGAATGGACATACAGACAAAAAAAAGAGGTGCTTAAAGTTAGAAAATGAGGTGCAAGAGGGAGTGGTGAATTGCTAGAAGCATGCCATAATGGAAATGATGGGCCAAGAAAACAGATTCACACACACAGAAGGATTAGTCTGGGAAGTGGGTAAGCAGAGTGTGGTGCAAATGACACGGCACATGACATGGCAGATGATATGGAGAATTTGAAGGCCTCAGTCTTCAGCCCTCAGTCTTCAGTCTTTAGCCCGTACTGAAGCTTGAAGCTCTGCCGGCACCGCCACTCCAGTGGCGGTGTGAAACCCGCTTTCCCGCAATGGGCTGGTTTGCTTTCGATGACTGCATTTAGTTCAATTGCTCCTCCTGAACGCATGGGGGGCGAATAGCTGCACCTCATGGTGCTTCTGTTGCTTCTGCTGCTGCCGTTTTTGTCTCCTCCTGCACCCACTTACAGCGCTCCTGCTGCTCCTGCTGTTGCTGCTCCTGCTGTTGCTGCCCGCAATCACTGCCTCTCGTCCAAGTCAGCAAAGGATGCATCGATCAATTATCCATCATCCTCCCCCAGAGCACAAAGCCTTGGGGGAGCAGAAGGAGCAGGAAGCCTTGGGGGAGCAGGAAGCCTGCTGCCCCCACTCGCTCTCCCTGCTCACCCTCCTGCTGCCTCTTCTGCTCACGTTGCAGCAGCTGCTGCTGCCCCTGTAACTGCTGCCAATGATGTTAGTGCTGCTGCTTAGCTGGCGTTGCTGGTGGTGCTGCTGCTTAGCTGGCGTTGCTGGTGCTGCTGCTTAGCTGGCGTTGCTGGTGCTGCTGCCCTGCTTAGCTGCCTTGGTAGTGCTGCTGGTACTCCAGCTAACAGCACTCCGCCTCCATGAATTGACTTCAACACACAACAAAAGAATGGTAGCAACATGCCGCCTCCTCCATCCTCACCCCCCCATTTGCCCTCCCACTTCTCCATCCCATCCCATCTGCCTTCACCCACCCACCTCTGTCCCTGCTACCTCCGCCCCTGCTACTGCCTCCGCCCCTGCTACCTCCGCCCCTGCTATTACCTCCGCCCCTGCTACCTCCGCCCCTGCTATTACCTCCGCCCCTGCTACCTCCGCCCCTGCTACCTCCGCCCCTGCTATTACCTCCGCCCCTGCTATTACCTCCGCCCCTGCTACCTCCGCCCCTGCTATTACCTCCGCCCCTGCTACCTCCGCCCCTGCTATTACCTCCGCCCCTGCTACCTCCGCCCCTGCTATTACCTCCGCCCCTGCTATTACCTCCGCCCCTGCTATTACCTCCGCCCCTGCTATTACCTCCGCCCCTGCTATTACCTCCGCCCCTGCTACCTCTGCCCCTGTAAACCTCCGCTCCACTCCTTATTCGTCCTCCCACTCCTCCATACATCTCCTCACTTCACTTGCCTCCCTTTCCCCCACCCCTCTCCCTTGCCCATTCCGATTGTATTTTGAGTCGACTCAAAATACAACTTGCCTCCCTTTCCCCCACCCCTCTCCCTTGCCCATTCCGACATCCTCAGCACTTGGGTGCACAGCCACACTCCCTTGGACCCACCCTCAAGTTTTTGAGGCGCCTCAAAAATCGTTTTTGAGGCGCCTCAAAAAAAGACATCCTCAGCACTTGAGTGCACGGCCACACCCCCTTGGACCCACCCTCAAGGATCCTTAGAAACTCCATCAAGGCTGACTGCCTTGATCCCTGGATCCGTTATGTGAGTGCCTTGATCCAGGGATGCTCTGTTGAGGGGACGGGCGAGCGGAGGCGAGAAGAAACGGAGTTGATGCGAGAAAACATTGGTGGATATGGCGAGGAGGAAGGGAGGGAATGAGAAAATGACGGACCGGATTGATTCTGAGGGACCACCCAGCTGACCACAGGCAATGGCTTGACCACAGGCCATGGCTTGACCACAGGCCATGGCTTGACCACAGGCCATGGCTTGACCACAGGCCATGGCTTGACCACAGGCAATGGCTTGACCACAGGCCATGGCTTGACCACAGGCAATGGCTTGACCACAGGCAATGGCTTGACCACAGGCAATGGCTTGACCACAGGCAATGGGTTGACCGCAGGCAATGGCTTGACCACAGGCAATGGCTTGACCACAGGCAATGGCTTGACCACAGGCAATGGCTTGACCACGGACAATGGCTTGACCACAGGCGATGGCTTTCTGCCAGAAGAATATAGTCCATCTCCTGCCAGAATATAGTCTTGACCACGTTCTGCCTTTCAGTCGACTTTCGAGTCGACTCAAAAACAGGCCATGGCTTTCGGTAAGATTCCATCTCCTACAGAATATAGTCTTGGACCACGTTCTCTGTGGCCACAGCTAGTCGTGCAGAGCTTGGCCGCTAATCTCCACAGTATTGGCCACACCCAACCCAACCACTTCACATGCCCCACGCTCAAGACTCACTCAGTATTGCCCCCATGGTGATTCGCCTCTCGTATTTCCAGATCCAGCACAGCATCCTTCTGACGACTTTTGAGGCGCCTCAAAAGGCGCCTCAATGGTGAGTCGCCTCTCGTATTTCCGCGTGATAGGAGTCTAGTTTTGAGGCGCCTCAAAACTGTATTTCCAGCACAGCATCCTTCTGACCAGGTCCTTAGCCGCCGTGCTGACCACAGGCCCACTCACACACCAGCATACACGTCAGGCCCGCTCACCCACTCACCACCTGGTACACGTGCCACACCCGAGACTCACTCAGTATGATCCCGATGGTAATCCGCCACTCATACTTTCGGCACAGCATCCTTCTGACCAGGTCCTTAGCCGCGGCGCTGACCACGGGCCACGTTTCCGTGTCGAAATCGAGCCCCTGCCGCAAGAAGCTCTTACAGGCGTCCTCTGGTTTCCATGCTAGTTTCTACCCAAAGAACCTCTGCAGTATGCCGCACACACAACCAAGATTTACTCAGAATCTTGGCAATGGCGATCCGCCGCTCATACTTTCGGCACAGCATCCTTCTGAGCAGGTCCTTAACCACCGTGCTGACCACGGGCCACGGCTCCGTGTCGAAATCCAGCTCCTGTCACAAGATGGTCTTGAACACGTCCTCTGTGGTGCCCTGCCTTCTCAACCCCAGCCAGTTTCCATTATGGAGACAACTCAAGTGCAAATAATCCCCCACAGCCCTTCTCACTACCGTGCCCAAGACTTACTCAGAATCTCGGCAATAGTGATTCTCCGCTCGTATTTCCGGCACAGCATGCGTCGAACCAAATCCTTGGCAGCCGTGCTGACCACGGGCCACGGCTCCGTGTCGAAATCCAGCTCCTGCCACAAGATGCTCTTGAACACATCCTCTGTGGTGTCGCCCCAGAAGGGCGGCAGCCCGCACAGCAGCACGTAGAGAATCACCCCCGCGCTCCAGATGTCCGCTTCTGCTCCGTAATTCTTGGCGATGACTTCAGGGGCGATGTAGTTGGGGGTTCCAGCTCTCAGCTTGCAGCGCTCGCCTGGGGGAGATGGGAGGGAGGGGGAAGGGGGGGGAGGGAGCGAGGGAATAGGTGTTGAATTCTGGAAGTCAACGCCCAGCGCGTGCAACAGAATGGGGGTATGCTGCCTTGAAGATGTCCTCTGTGGTGTCGCCCCAGAAGGGCGGTAAGCCGCACAGCAGCACGTAGAGGATCACTCCCGTGCTCCAGATGTCAGCCTCGGCTCCGTAGTTCTTGGCGAGGACGAAGCTCGCACACCACATTTGTTTGCAAAGATGTCAGGAGCAATGTAGTAGGGGGTGCCTGCCGTCAGCTTGCAGCGCTCGCCTGGGGTAGGGATAATCGAAGGAGGGGAGAGATTGGGATGGATGGAGTGGGGATGGGGAAGGGAGGACGAAGTTCGCACACCACATTTGTTTGCAATGACACCAGGAGCAATGTAGTAGGGGGTGCCTGCCGTCAGCCTGCAGCGCTCGCCTGAGGCGTTCAGAGGGAGCGAGTGGGGGGATAGGAAGGGGGGATGAAGCGGGTGCACTTCTCGTTTTTGAGTCGACTCAAAAGGTGCACTTCTTGTTTTTGAGTCGACTCAAAAGGTGCACTTCTTGTTTTTGAGTCGACTCAAAAGGTGCACTTCTTGTTTTTGAGTCGACTCAAAAGGTGCACTTCTTGTTTTTGAGTCGACTCAAAAGGTGCACTTCTTGTTTTTGAGTCGACTCAAAAGGTGCACTTCTTGTTTTTGAGTCGACTCAAAAGGTGCACTTCTTGTTGCAAGGGGTGCCTGCTCGCAACTTGCGGCATTGCCCTGGCAGCTGGACTCGGAGGCTCAACTGGCAACACATATATGTCGGTTCGTGTATGTTGGTTCGTGTATGTCGGTTTCCAATCACCCCGCTTCGCTACTCATATTCCCAGAAGAATGTGCCTAACTATGGCCCTCTTATCGTTACTTTTACACACCAGCAGAAAGTGTTCCGGCATGACGGCAAGACACACAACATCCTCGTGTCACTCCGCTTCGACACAAGCAGAATGTTCTCGGGCTTTGAGCTCATACACACAGAACCCATTAATTTCAGGGTGCCTCAAATCATACCTGGCTTGAGGCAGTACGCCATGCCGAAATCGATCACTTTGACCCTCGTGTCGCTCCGCTTGGACACCAACAGAATGTTCTCGGGCTTTAAGTCCCGGTGCACAATGCCCCGGGAGTGGCAGAAGTCAAGCACCTCCACCACCGACCGGATCACCCGTGCGGCCTGCCTCTCCCCGTAGTACTTGCGGTCGAGAATCCTGTCAAAGAGTTCCCCTCCGTTGCACAGCTCCATGATGATGTGGACCTCCTATTTGGGGGAGAGGGAGGGAGGGAGGGAGAATAAGGACGGACACGGGAGAACAAGGAGAGGTGAGTGGGAGGATTGGAATTGCGCAAGAGTGTGAGCCCCGTGTACGACCAACCCCACCCTCCCCCCCACCTCCCCGGGCATCATTTTTGGGAATTCTAAAAAAAAAAAAAAAAACTTTTTTTTTTTTTTTGAGAATTATAAAAAATGACTCCACTGTAGCCGGTGCACGACCAACCCCACCCTCCCCCCCACCTCCCCGGGCGTGGCAGAAGTCAAGCACTTCACCCACCGACTGCTCTTTGTTTTTGTGGAATTCCTGGAATGGGGTTAGAACGGGTGGGGGTAGAACGGGTGGGGGTAAAACGGGTGGGGGTAGAACGGGTGGGGGTAGAACGGATGGGTGGGGGTAGAACGGGTGGGGGTAGAACGGGTGGGGGTAGAACGGATGGGTGGGGGTAGAACGGGTGGGGGTAGAACGGATGGGTGGGGGTAGAACGGGTGGGGGTAGAACGGGTGGGGGTAAAACGGGTGGGCGGGGAGCACAAGGAACTTGAGAGGGATGGCCCATGCTACACACCCCCATGCTACACACCCCCATGCTACACACCCCCATGCTGCACACCCCCATGCTACACACCCCCATGCTGCACACCCCCATGCTACACACCCCCATGCTACACACCCCCATGCTGCACACCCTCCTGCTGCACACCCCCATGCTGCACAAACGGATGGCTTCGCAGCATCCCACTCACGGATGTGAGCTTTAGGGCCTCGTTCAGCAGCCAGTACAATAAACACGCCCCCATCCGGTGTGTGCGCTGAGCTCACCTTGTCGTTTTCCACTGACTGAACACTGTCACCACAAACGGATGGCTTCTCACGTTCCTGTTTAAGGAAAGTCAGGGGCGCATCTCCCTACAGCCTACAGCACTCACGTTGTCGTCTTCCACTGTCTCTACGATGGACACCACGAACGGGTGGCCCCTCACATACGATCCACTCTCAAGGCAAGCCAGGGGCGAATCTCCCTACAGCCTACAGCGCTCACCTTCTCATCCTCCACCGTCTCTATGATGGACACCACAAACGGGTGGCCCCTCGCATTCCTGTTTAAAGCAAGTCAGGGGCGCATCTCCCTACAGCCTACAGCGCTCACCTTGTCCTCTTCCACTGTCTCTATGATGGACACCTCAGCATAGAGATGGACACCACGAACGGGTGGCCCCTCACATACGATCCACTCTCAAGGCAAGCCAGGGGCGAATCTCCCTACAGCCTACAGCGCTCGCCTTCTCATCCTCCACCGTCTCTATGATGGACACCACAAACGGGTGGCCCCTCACATACGATCCACTCTCAAGGCAAGCCAGGGGCGAATCTCCCTACAGCCTACAGCGCTCGCCTTCTCATCCTCCACCGTCTCTATGATGGACACCACGAACGGGTGGCCCCTCGCATACGATCCACTCTCAAGGCAAGCCAGGGGCGAATCTCCCTACAGCCTACAGCCCTCACCTTGTCGTCTTCCACTGTCTCTACGATGGACACCACGGGTGGCCCCTCGCATACGATCCACTTTTAAGGCAAGCCAGGGGCGCATCTCCCTATCGACAGCGCTCATCTTCTCATCTTCCACTGTCTCGATGACGGACACCACAAACGTGAGGAGTCTATTTTTGAGGCGCCTCAAAAATAGACTCCTCACTCAGGGGCGCATCTCCCTATCGACAGCGCCCATCTTCTCATCCTCCACTGTCTCTATGATGGACACCACAAACGGGTGGCCCCTCAGCATCTCCACGCAGTCACCACTTCGCTGTGCGGATTTTGATTTTCATGCAACTGAGAGGTATACCCTAATGGTGCCCTCACCTTATCGTCTTCCACTGTCTCTATGATGGACACCACGAACGGGTGGCTCCTCGCATTCCTGTTTAATGGTGCCCTCACCTTATCGTCTTCCACTGTCTCTATGATGGACACCACGAACGGGTGGCTCCTCGCATTCCTGTTTAATGGTGCCCTCACCTTATCGTCTTCCACTGTCTCTATGATGGACACCACGAACCGGTGGCTCCTCGCATTCCTGTTTAATGGTGCCCTCACCTTATCGTCTTCCACTGTCTCTATGATGGACACCACGAACCGGTGGCTCCTCGCATTCCTGATTAATGGTGCCCTCACCTTATCGTCTTCCACTGTCTCTATGATGGACACCACGAACGGGTGGCTCCTCGCATTCCTGTTTAATGGTGCCCTCACCTTATCGTCTTCCACTGTCTCTATGATGGACACCACGAACCGGTGGCTCCTCGCATTCCTGTTTAATGGTGCCCTCACCTTATCGTCTTCCACTGTCTCTATGATGGACACCACGAACCGGTGGCTCCTCGCATTCCTGTTTAATGGTGCCCTCACCTTATCGTCTTCCACTGTCTCTATGATGGACACCACGAACCGGTGGCTCCTCGCATTCCTGTTTAATGGTGCCCTCACCTTATCGTCTTCCACTGTCTCTATGATGGACACCACGAACCGGTGGCTCCTCGCATTCCTGTTTAATGGTGCCCTCACCTTATCGTCTTCCACTGTCTCTATGATGGACACCACGAACCGGTGGCTCCTCGCATTCCTGTTTAATGGTGCCCTCACCTTATCGTCTTCCACTGTCTCTATGATGGACACCACGAACCGGTGGCTCCTCGCATTCCTGTTTAATGGTGCCCTCACCTTATCGTCTTCCACTGTCTCTATGATGGACACCACGAACCGGTGGCTCCTCGCATTCCTGTTTAATGGTGCCCTCACCTTATCGTCTTCCACTGTCTCTATGATGGACACCACGAACGGGTGGCTCCTCGCATTCCTGTTTAATGGTGCCCTCACCTTATCGTCTTCCACTGTCTCTATGATGGACACCACGAACCGGTGGCTCCTCGCATTCCTGTTTAATGGTGCCCTCACCTTATCGTCTTCCACTGTCTCTATGATGGACACCACGAACCGGTGGCTCCTCGCATTCCTGTTTAATGGTGCCCTCACCTTATCGTCTTCCACTGTCTCTATGATGGACACCACGAACCGGTGGCTCCTCGCATTCCTGTTTAATGGTCCCCTCACCTTATCGTCTTCCACTGTCTCTATGATGGACACCACGAACCGGTGGCTCCTCGCATTCCTGTTTAATGGTGCCCTCACCTTATCGTCTTCCACTGTCTCTATGATGGACACCACGAACGGGTGGTTCCTCAGCATCTCCAGCACGCTCACCTCCCGCCTCACGTCCTCCACATCGTCCCAGCACTGGGTGAAGAGAAAATGGGGTTGGGGGGGGGGGGGGGGAGCGCATGATCACACATGCCTATACCGAACATGCCTATAACACACAGAGCAGAGCACGGAAACAGTTCTCACCTCGAACTTGGCCTTTGTAATGCTCTTGCAAGCACACATCTCCCCAGTCTGCAGGTTCTCCGCCACGTGGATCACACCGAAGTTCCCTCTCCCTAGCTCCTTTTCAGCAAGCCTGTACCTCCCGCTAATATCCTCATATGGTTTCCCCAGCACATTAGCACGAGTAGGCCCCAGAGCCTCTGCTGCTCCCTCCTCTCCTTCCCCCCCTCCCCCTCCATTTTCTCCCCATCGATTCGGTAGTAGTCGCTAGGCTGGGGCGTCCGAAGCGGGAAGCCAGCTTCGGCCCGAGCCGAGGCTCCAGCCCTGGGGGACGGGACGGGCGTTCCGTGATTCCAGTTGGCAAACATGTTCTGGATTTCCGCCAGCTTGGCCTGGTCCCGATCCTGCTGCGCAGCCACGGTACCGGGGCTAACTGCCAGGCTCCCCCCCCCAGGGGTCATAGCCCCAGGGGTTATGAATCCGGTTCGGGAGTTAGCATGGGCCGGCCTGGAGGGGGATAGTAACGGGGAGCCTACTAACGGGGATCCCTTGCGTGGGCTGGCAAAGGGGCTGGCGTAAGGGCTGGAATAGGGACTGCTGGAAGGTAGAACGATCTTAGGCTTGTGTGGGCTTTGTAGTTGTGTCTCGCTTAACCCTCCTGCATTCCCTTCCCTGGCCTCTGCTCCCCCTCCAGAGCCGGTGGTATATGCCGCCCTTCCTTCCGTCTCCAATCCTCCCCCTCCTCCTCCTGCTGCTGCTCCTCCTCCTCCTGCTCCTCCCGCTCCTCCGTTTACTCCCCCCAATCCCCCCCCCATCCGCATTCCCGCAGGGCGCGGGGCACCAGCATAGGGGCTCGCTCCCCCCATAGGGGACCCGCCCATGCCTCCTGGGGAGCCGCCTCCCTGCAGATTAAAGCCGCCTACATGCGGATTAAAGCCTGCTCCAGGGGTGAACCAGGCCTCGCAACTAGCGGATCTCCTATGGCCGCCCTTCTTAACAGGCACTCCCCCTGCGCCGCCTCCCCCTCCTCCCGCGCCACTTCCCCCCCCCCTGCCCCCACCCCTGCCCCTCCCCCCGCCAGCCACCCAGGGCTTGGGCGCACAGGAAGCACCCCGGAAGGCGCAGCTCCCCCTCCCCCCAGCCCCCCAGAATACCCCCCTCCGCCTGCTGGCGCCCCCCCGCGTGCGCCTAGGGGAGCGCTTCCCCTTGTTCCTCCCCCTTGCCTGCTACGCTGAGGACTTCCATAGGAGCTGCCCCTCCCCCCTCCCGCTGCCCCTGCGGCTCCCCCTGCTGCTCCGCCTGCTGCCCCGCCAAAGGCCAGAACGGGGCTCCTAGGAGGAGTCTTAGTGGTGCGCCGTGGGTCGATGGGGCTGCCGTCGCGGGACCGGGAGGTTCGCCTGACCGCCGCTAAGCCTAGAGGTTGCAGCGGCTGCAGTGGCGGCTGCTGCTGCTGCTGCGGTGGTGGTGATTGCTGTTGCTGCTGGTGAGGGGGGGAGTGGTGCTGCTGATGCGGGGGAGACTGGTGCGGAGTCCCTTGCTGCTGCTGCTGCTGCCGCTGCTGCTGCTGTTCTTTCTGCTGCTTGTCGCTGCTGGCTCGGGCCTGACGCCTATCCCAAATGCCCGCTCCCCCTCCTGCTCCCCCTCCTACCCCCCCCCCATTGCCCCTCACCCGCCTCTCCCCCGCGTCTTCCGCCTCCCCATCGTACTCATCGTCAGCTGCGCTTCTTATGCCCCCCCGCGCCCGCTCCCCCTGACTTCCGCCTCTTCTCTCGCCCCCACTCCCTTCACCATTCCCCATGCCAACAGCCTTCTGCCCCCCCGCTCCCCCTCCGCCTCCCCCTCCCCCGCCACCAAGAGAAGCCCTAGCCCCTCCGCCGCTGCTGGTTCCCCCAGATCCCCCGCCCACGCTGCTCCGCCCCCCTACTGGTCTGCCCGTTCCGCTTGTGTTTCCCCCTCCCCCCCCCACAATCTCTCCTTCGCGCCGTCTCCTTTCCTCCGGGCTCGTACTCCCTCCTGCGCCTCCCAGCCTTCCTGACGGACCGTCAGAATAATCCCTGACGGCTGACGGTAGCTGCTGCGGGCTGACCTGCCGGCGATTCTCTGCTGTTATTCCCCACCCGACAACGCCACCAGGGCCGCCGCTTTGGCTTCGCCTATGCCCGCTTTTGCCGTACCCAAGCGCGCTTACACCGCTGATCCCTGTCTCCTCCCCCTCACGTCTCGTCCTGGTGCTCTCCGGACTCACGTGCCTGGGAACCGGGCTCCAGCCTGCCGGACCGTCAGTTTGCTCACTGCTAGCGGGCGCTGGCCGGCTACTCCGACCAGTCGGTCCGGGTCCCGCGGCGAGCGGCCATTCTTGCGACCTACGCGGGGCAGGTACTAAAGGGGGTTGCCTGCCTCTCGAGCCGCTGGCTTTAATCCCCTCCGGCGCGCCGCGAGATGCGGCGCTCGTTGCGGAGGAGCCTTGGAAATCGTCCGTCGCGTCAGCAGCGGAAAACGCGGCGATGGCGAAGTCTTCGGAGCGGATCCGGCGGTGACGGGCCGCCATTGGCTTAGGAGGCCTGCTCACGTCAGCTGGGTACTTAGGCTGGGACGAAGCATACCCACCACCGCCACCCACGATAGTACCGCCGAAGCTGCTACTACCAGCTAGGCCATAGACCACATTAGTGTTGGTGGTGGTACTCGTGCTGTTACCTGTAACACTGCCGTTACTACCGCTGTACCCAGTCGAGCCGCCATCGTTACCACCACCACTGTAGCTGGAGTTACTGCTGCCGCCGCTCGTTCCGTACAAGGCACTGTTCCCGGTTCCGGCGCCGCGATTGACGCCGCTATTCCCGCTCCTGCTGGGGCTTCCGCTGATACTGCTGCTGCTGCTGTTGTTGTTGTAACCATTGGGGCTGCTGTTTCTTCCTGAAGAAATGTCGCTGCCAGTATACGGCGTTTTTAGCGGCCATTGCTGATTGGTTGCCTGCGAACGTCTAGCTTCTTGCCCAACTCCGACATAATTTAGAGCAGAACTTGGCGGCGATTTTTGCGGGGAGGGTTGTTGCCTCGAACGAGGCTGCTGATTGTACGCGTTATAGCTGTTCCAGTCAGGAAGTTGTTTCCGAGCCTGTTTCATCTCGTCCGGAGAATGCTGCGGGTCCTGCGGATAATCAGGAGAAGAGATTTCTCCCGAATGCCGTCGGTGGTGGCTAGTAGTAATCTCCGCAACTTTATCCTCGATAATAGTATCTTCGCTTCGCCCTCCAACGCGAGCACTCGAGCCCAAATGATGGCCATAATTTACGACCTGAAGACGAGACCCAGCTGCTGACGCCTGATTCATCGCCGGGTCGAACTGGAAACTGTCAGAATGGCTTCGCCGGTGGCTGTATTTCGACTTCACGGGCCGAGGAGGAACAGGCGACACCGCACGATGCACGTGCTCCTGTGGTTCCGAGACATCGGGGCCGTTCATTTGCGCGACGCAATGTCCGGAATCTCGGGAAACGTGAGAGCGGGACCTAGAATCAGCTACTAGGACATCCATAAACAAACCGACTGCATGAGAATAAATCACCTGCTGGAACTGGGTCGCTTCGCTGGCTTCAAACAAGTGGAGTTCCAGGGGTTGTCACTATTATAGCATATCGGGAGCCTCCTTGGCCGACAGTATGGGTAGAATACGTTTTGTATTATTTCTGCAGAGATTCTGAGCAATACAGCTCGGTGCTACGACATCTCGAAGCCCCCCATGACTTAGGTTCGGACTGGACCAGCGCGAAGGAACTCCCGAGGCTGGAAGAATAGAGGCCCTTGGGAGTAGCATTTTTTTGCCATTCGAGAAATCGAGTGCGTCTCAGCCGTTCAGATCTAATTTTCGGACGGCAAAGATTGAGTTACCTGTTTTTTAAGGTGCCCCTGGGGTCAATCAATCACAACTCGGGCAGCCACTTTTATCAACCAGCTTTTGGCCCACCAGTCTAAATGCACCTTTTCTCCTATTTAGTTTTGCGGTTTCAAAACGCGGCTCAAGCCCGCAAGCAGGAAATGGTAAAACACGGGCAAACGGGACCTTGAAGGGGAAAACCCACAGTTAACACTGACACTTGGTTACAAAATCTCGCTATGCACTTGATTAGTTTCCTGCGCGATGTCCCAGCTCTGAAACTCGGAATTGTCGACATTCAACTTGGCTTTTCGCTATCCGTTCAGAATGCAGCCAATCAGGTTCAGTGTCAACGCGAGTCATGCTGAGAGCCTGGTAGGTAGGAATACAATTTGGGCTGTTCCGGGTGGGACAATAGAGGGGAACATGTGTACGCTTTGAAAGCGCCTCACGCCTGCCAACAGTCCGCCACAACTCGGAGTGAGGGCCGGGCAGGGTGCGCCCCCGCGGTTGTTTGGGCAGGGCAGGAAACTTGCGGACGTGGAGCCTTGTACAACCCCGTACGTCGACTGGGCAGTTCAGACAGCCAGGTCATCTACAGTACAGAGAATTAACTGTGAATTGTCACTCAACGGAAGGCCTTACCCGAGTTCCATCTGTCGTTCTGCAGCTCTGGGGTTGTCCCTAGGACCAGTCCTCAGGGGAAATGATCAGAAAGGGTCCTCCTCGCTCTGCCAGGGATGCGAGCAAAAAAGGTCCGTCTACCTCCGAACCTGTGGTACACTCCTTTTTATTTTTAGTACTTACCAGTAAACGTTTATCAACGAAAAGGCAAAAACATAAAACGCATTTAAGACAGAATTCCGTTCGAGATGGCATCAACCCTAAACACGCAGCTCTTTTGCGATTTTAGGGTTGATGCCACCCCGAGTCGCATGTGAGGGCCCTACGGGTTTTTTTTAATGCCCTAAACACGGTTCGTATAAATGTCCCACCTCGCAGGGTCACGATACGACGCGCCCTACGAACCTGAGCTGTCTCGCGAACCAAAAATATTTACGTGTTGTACGACGAAGACGATGTATCACAGGTTTGGAGACAAGGTCTCGGTGCAGAAAGCTGCCGGACCTTTTTTGCTTACGCCTCTGGCGGGGCAAGGACCCCTTTTTTATCATTTCCCAGCCCTAAGTTCGGTCTGCCTTTTCTTAAAAGTGCCTTCAGTTCGAACTTTTAGAGTGTTTTAACACGATACAGTCAGTTTTACTAAGGTGCAGCATGGTTCACATTTTTGTTTCAGGTTTCCAAATGTCGTTTAGTGTGTGATTTGGAGTTAGGGTTTTTAGTTGTTCGGTTACTGTTACTAGCGATCCGCGCACAGGAGTCACGTTTAGCGCACAGCGATGAGGGTTTTGTCGCTTTCTGAGCAGTGATGGGAGGCTTAACGTTCATTTAGGTTAATTGTTTATCCATTGGACCACGTTTCACAATTTCATTGGCTACACATTGTACCTCGGCATTTCTCTGTTCTCAGCAAGTGGTCCCGAAAATCTCCGTCAACAACAGAGCACGTCGCTGAACGAACCTGGAAACAGAATGAGCCTCGGGTGCCATCACTTTCTGACGGCAAAATTAACAGCGAACTTATTTTCCAGACGGGTAAAACACGACGACAATCCTCAATATGGGATTGCGGATTAGTGCGACGGGATTGTTCACTTACTTTTCATTTCGATATTATGTAATACTTTTTTTGGTACAACGGAGCGATAGTGGGATTTGCTCAAGAGGAGTTTCATGGAGATGGCGCAGAAGTTTGAGAGACGGGAGGGGTTACCGGGACCGGTGGGGAAGCAGTTACGATACTGCTGCACAAAAATTGGGAACTACAGGCCCATCACGTTGCTCAACAATTCGTACAAGGTCCTAGCGAATGTGGTGGCGAATCGGATGAAGGGTGCCATGCACAAGGTAGTCCCCAGGGAGCAGTTCTGGTTCTTACATGGGAGAAGGCTGGCGGATGCAGTGTTGATTGTAGCTGACATCATTGAGGTGGCCAGGGACGGGGACAAGGACTTGTATTTGTTGCTGGTGGATTTTGAGAAAGCTCACGACTGGGTCCATCGGGAGTACCTGTTTGGGGTGATGAGATGAATGGGGTTCCCCCAGAGGTTTATGAGCTGGGTGGGAGGGTTGCACAAGGGCTCCAGTACCAGGCTGGTGATTAGTGGTTGGACAGGCAGTCGGATCGATGTTCTGAAAGGACTAACGCAAGGGTGCCTGCTAGCCCTGTACCTCTTTCCCTGCGCGGTGGAACCACTCTGCAGAGAAGCGGAGAGAAGGCATCGGTTATGCCGATGACACTTCACTGATGATTAACGGGAGGCAACGGTTGAAGAAAGCGAAGGAGTTATTGGTGGATTTTGGGCAAGTGTCGGGACTCAGGGCCAACCAGTCGAAGTCCTCGTTGCTTCCGCTGGGAAAGAATGTCCGGGCTCCGACGCGGTCGGATCTTGGCTACAAGTGGGTGGCAAGGGATGAGGCGGAGAGGCTGCTAGGAGTCCACGTATCGCCCAGCGGCCGAGCGGATCTGACATAGGGCTTGGCGTTTGGCAGGGTAAAAGGGGAATTGGTGAAGTGGCAGTGCAAGTATCTCACGACGTCGGCGAGGGTCACCATCCTGAATGACTACGTGATGCCGATTCTGTTGTTCTAGGCCCTGGTGTACCCGCCGCCTGAGGGATTCTGTAATAGGGTGGAGAAGGTGGCGCAAAATTTCGTGTCGGGCAATAGAGCGGACGAGGGCAATCACTTTACGCTCTGGAGTTGGTAGCTGATGTGCACGACGAGGAGGCAAGGGGGGCTCGGAGTGGTGGACCCCAAAGACCGGGTAGATAGCCTCGCAAGGAGATGTGTTGGCGCGGCACTTCTGGAGTCTTGCCCTATAAGGAGAGAGTTGACAGCGTAGGCGGCAAGGCTTCCGCTGGGTTGGGCCTCCTTGTATGCTCATCCGCAACTGCTTAAGAGGTGAGGAGACGGCAGCGCAAGGTGGAAGATGATTTGTGAGTCGTCCATCAAGGGAGGGGTTGTTGAAGTTAAAGAGGCAAGCACAAGATGGGAGGTGGAACAGGAACCGTTGACTTTCAACAAGCATATCACCTTCAGAGGCCACTCCCCTTTTGATACCTAGCAAGGTACTGAGAAGTTGAGGGGTCTTCGGATTTGTGACCTGGTGCGAAGAGGGGCGGAAGGCACGAGGGAGCTGAAGAGCCATAATGAATTGGAGAGAGAGCTGGGGGATAGAACAGCAATGGCAATGGCTCTGAAAGCTTTTAAAAGTGCTCCCCAACAATGGAAGCTGTGTGTCCTAAAGAAATTGGACGTGAAGGAACTGGTAGAGGCGACAGAGGTTGCACAGACGAGGGGGTACCCGAAAGGAGTGCCCTGGCTATGGGAGGTTCGGCAGGAGTAAGATGGTAGCCTCAGGGGCAAAAGGGTTGACGTAAACGAGCAACGCCACTTGGTGCGTAGATCAATCACGTAGGAGTCTCAGTTATAACTTGCTAGGATGACGTGAAAACGTCGGAGCGGTTAATCCTAGGAAAGTTGGGATCGCCAGAAGCTCGGTTACTGGAAACGATTCTCAGAGAAGGTGACACTGTGGTGCCGCTACGGAAGTTAAGGAGGCAGCTGGTACAAGCTTCCGAGTGCACAAAGCAGCAGTTGGCCTGGGAGGACAAGATTGGGTCCAAGGTGGACTGACAGAGGGCCATCAGCGTACGCGACTCGTTGGTGGTTCCGCTCAAGCCGAGGGACCTGTTACTAAGAGTCTATAGTCGTAATTTGCAGGTGGGGGAGAGGCTGAAGTTCCTAGGGAAGCGTGGGTCTTTTCCACACTATGGAGAGGCAGAAACCCTTGCTCACTGCCTCTACGAGTGTGTCGAGATTCAGCTATTGGTGGGGGCGCTAAAGAAACCGCTGGTCATGTTCAACCCAAGAAGGAATGTCTCATCGATTGAGGAGCTGTTGTTTCCGTGCTACGCTTCTCAGTCAGGTTTCCCAGAAGCAACGATTACGGCCAGTACACTTCACAGAATATGGATAGATAGGTGTGATGCAATTTTCAGGGGGGAAAAGCTGCAAATGAAACGGTCGCTACAGAATATTAATGTGGCGTTTAATCTGCACGCTAGTGTTTACGTAAGCAGCAAAGGGAGAAAGAAGCTGGCGGATAGGAAGGGGAAGCAGAAGGGGAAGGTGCATGCATTTCCGGCAAAGGACGAGATCCTTATGCTTAGCCGCATACGTGACAGCTCGGCAAAGGGGATGAGGTGGAGCGCGGGTTTTCAGTCCATCTAGGCAAACCCACGTACTTTCACCAAGCCACCGTACATGGCTCGGAGGGGAATGGCTTCCAGGCCTAGGCCCCTCAGATACAGTTACGACTGAAGGTTGTCTTTGTACTGTATAACTTATATACACTGAGAGAAAAAACCGTCCGGATGTTTGGCACTAAGTTGGGTTTTTAGGCTTTGAGACTACTGTATGGTAAACCTGCAAGATGCATGGTGGTACACGTTGGGAGAGGCACAAAGTGGATGCGTTCACATCACTAAGAACTAGAGTAGTACATTGGATCTAACTCATACTCCAAAAGATATACAACGAGTACATCCGGACAGTTTTTTCCCAAGACAAAGAGCAAACTTCCGAACAGCGTTTCTAGTAACTAGTCCA